TTTCCAGAAATTTACTAATGAAAGAGCAGTTGGAAATTGGTCTATAGTTTTTCAGCTCGTTTCTTTCAAGACTGCTCTTCTTTAAGAGAGGCTTTACAACAGCAGTTTTACAGAGATCAGGAAAAATTCCAGACTCAAAAGATGTATTTGTTATTTTCATGAGTGCTGGAGATACTGCTTCTATGCAATCCTTTACTAAGTATGTTGGCATTGGGTCCAGTGAGCATGATTTTGCTGGCATGGCTTTCATCATGGCAACTACTTGTTCGATACTCACTTGGGTGAATTTTGTCAGTACTGTTTGAGAAGAAACTGGTGACTCTATGAGCTTAGGATCATGTTTATCTAGGGTACATCTTATGTCCTGTATCTTTTTTAGTAAAGAATTGTGCAAAAACTTGAGGTACATATGTAGTAAGTTTTTCTCTAAATCAGGCAGTACTCTAAGTTGGGTGGATGAAGAGTTAGAGATGTTATCAACAATTCTGAATAGGGCCTTCTGATCGGTAGAATCAATACAATTTCGGTGGTATTCTGCCTTGCATGTGTTAAGACGAAAATTATACTTGGATCTGGCATCTGTGAAAATCTGTTTATGTATTTCAAGTCTAGTGCCAAGCCATTTTCTTTCCAGCTTGCGGATTTCCTTACGCTCTTCTAACAACTCTGGTGTGATCCATGTAGCCTTTGGCTTTACTGTCACTCTCTTTTCCTGTAGTGGAGCCTGGTTATCAATAGCCTTTGATAACGAATTATTGTAGTGAGTAACTTGTAAATTTATGCCATTTATGCTGACCATCTGATAAAGCATTTGAAAGTTCCCTGTTTAAGATGTCACTGTCGATTCTGGAAAGTAGACGGCTCTGTTTGACTACTTTAGTTGGCGCTGGGCGGTTGGCATTGGCTACGAAATGAACTGCTGCATGATCAGAGGGCAAAGTGTGATCTACGAAGAAGTTACTGAGACATGAGTTTTTTCTTGTCAAAACAAGATCTAAAACATGACCTTTCGAATGAGTAAAACTTTCAACATGCTGTTCAAGTCCCACTGAGGATAACAGATCATTGAATTTTTCCACGCCATGTGATGAGCCATTACATTCACCTATCAAGGATCAGCATATAGTACCTGAGGAGACAGTAACACCAACCCGAGATATTGTCAAGGATCAGTGTAAAACACCAACAAAAACAGTGACACCAGCAATTAATACCCCAAGGATTGTAACAAGATCTGGTCGTGTGGTAAAACCGCCAGAGAGATTAAATTTATAACTTGTGTTTTGTGAACGATTCAGTATTAATTTAATACTACATGTGGATTTTCATGTGGACTTGCTTTAAAGCAGTTTTAAGTTATAATGCAAAGACTCAGCCAAAGACTTTTCTTTAATTTTCTTTTCTTTCATTTAAATGGACTGTTAAAGACATTCTCTGTGGAGCATGAAATGATTTTAAGTTAAAGTAAAAAAAAAAATATTATTTACAAAAGTTCAAATTATTGTTTTTCTTTTTATCAAGAGCTTGTAAAATATGTGGGTATTACCTCAAATATTTCTGTGACTGTCAGTCACCATCATCAGGGAGTAAATGACTAGGGTCATTTCACCTGGAATGAAAATCCAGGTCAATTGCCCCTAATCACTGGCCTTGTGTTGTAACTGTTATTTCCTCCCCCCGGGGCTCCTCTGCATCCCTCTGGAGCACCGTGAGGTAGATAGCTGGTAAATCATACCCCCCCCTGTCTGTTCAGGTCTGGTTGTTTGGTCCTGATGTGTACAGCTTCTGCTATTTTTCTTTGGAATGTCCAATTTTCTCTGTATATTACTTTCAAGCTGTCGAAATCTATGTGGTGACCTGGATGTTTGCAGGTATGTTCTCCAAGGGCTGATTTCCAGTTGTTTTTGGCCACTGAGTCTTTGTGTTCTTTCATTCTTGTGGCTAATGGTCGTCCTGTCTCGCCAATGTATTCTCCTTGGCAGGTTCCACATTTGACTGAATATATCACACCACATTGCTCTCCTTGGGTTAGAGGATCCTTGGGTTTCACTAGTGCTTGTCTCAGCGTCCAACCTGGCTTGTGGTGGAGTTTGATGTTATATTTTTTATAAACCCGGCTTAGTTTTTCTGACAGACCTTGGCAGTATGGTAACACTATACTTTGCTTTGCACCCTCAATGAGGCCCGTTGCATCCTTTTCTTTGTCATGTCTGTTCTTGCCTCTTTTTTTCCCTTGTTTAANTTATGGTGGAGTTTGATGTTATATTTTTTATAAACCCGGCTTAGTTTTTCTGACAGACCTTGGCAGTATGGTAACACTATACTTTGCTTTGCACCCTCAATGAGGCCCATTGCATCCTTTTCTTTGTCATGTCTGTTCTTGCCTCTTTTTTCCCCTTGTTTTAGTGCCCATTTTGGATATCCACATGCTAACAGGTCTTTTTCAATCTTCTTCCTTTCTGTTTGTTTGTCTTCTGTATCGGATATCACGGTCTCACATCGGTGGAAAAGTGAAGCTGGTACACTAAGTTTTTGCGAGGTTGGATGATGAGACGACCACTGTAAGTAGTGATCTGTGTTCGTGGCTTTCCTGTACACTGTAGTTTTAATCCGTTCTTTGTCTTTGGTCATCTTTACATCTAGCATTGGCAGAGAACCTTCTACATTTTCTTCTTCTATTGTGAAGTGTACGCTTTGGTGTTGTGCATTAATGTGTTCAAACAGTGCCTGCACATGCGTCTTCTTGGATACGACTCCTGTGTCATCAACATATCTTCCCCAGAACTTGGGTGGGTTGGGTGTTGTTTGGAGTGCTTTCATTTCAAATTCTTCCATGAAGATATTAGCTATGACTGGTGACAGGGGGGAACCCATTGCTGCTCCATATGTCTGTTGGTAAAATTTTCCTTTGTACTGAAAGTAGGTGGTGTCCAAGGTTATAGCTAGTAGTTCGCCCATGTCTTCAGGTGATAATGCTGTTCTACTTGCCCAGGTGGTGTCTTTTTGGCATCTGTTCACACTCATTCCTACTACTTCATCACACGGGACGCTGGTGAACAAGGCGGAAACGTCAAAAGATACAAGTGTGTCATCCTTTTCAAGTGTTATACCTTCAGCAGCTTAACGAGGTGTTGTGAGTTCTGTATATGGTATTTGTTTTTCCGACTAGAGGCTTCAATAATTTTGCTAGGTGTTTTGCTAATTCATATGTTATAGAGTTTATCCCGGATACTATTGGTCTGACAGGATTGTCCTTTTTGTGTATTTTTGGAGTGGCGTAGAACCGGGGGGTCACTTCTGCTGTAGGGTATATCTTCTGGTATGTGGCATCATCAATCCTATTCTCTTTTCTGATGTTCTTCAACTTGTTTATAAGTCTTGCTTTCAGCTTCTGTGTTGGGTCTTTTGCTAATTGTTTGTATGTTGTTTCGTCCTTCAACAGGTTGTTGCATTTTTCTTCATATTCATTCCTATCCATGGTAACCACTGCTTTCCCTTTATCTGCTGGTATTATAATGATGTCCTTATTATTCTTGAGGGGCTTTATGGCGTTTCTTTCCCCTTTGGTCAAATTTGGTTTGGGTGGGTTACTGGATCTCAACGTTCCTACTACTTCATGTCTCAATTTAGCTGCTTGTTCTATATTCAATTTTTGACATGCCACTTCAGTCTGTATGATGACATCTCTCACAGGCAATTTGCTTGGTGCTATAGCATAATTGAGCCCTTTAGCAATTAGCTTCATTTCATCTTCAGTAGGTTGATAATTAGATAACACCTTGACCCACTGTTTCAGCTGTGTTCCTGTTAGGTCAACTTCAGTTACAGTGTTTGATTTTTCTATATGTTTGTTAGTCAACTTGTTGAGTTTATTTATTTGTGTCTTTTTGGACCTCTGAAATTCCTTTTCACCCACTTTGTCCACCATGTAAAATGTAATGTCATATATGTTTTTGTCATCTTTAAGTCTTTCTTTCACTTTCTCTGCCTGCACATTCTTATCCTTTTTCAACTCTATTATTCTCTGGTTGGTGATGTTGATTCTTTCCCTCAGGAGAGCTCTTTCTGCTTTTTTGATGATGCTTTTTTGATAACAGTTACAACACAAGGCCAGTGATTAGGGGCAATTGACCTGGATTTTCATTCCAGGTGAAATGACCCTAGTCATTTACTCCCTGATGATGGTGAAGACAGTCACAGAAATATTGGAGGTAATACCCACATATTTTACAAGCTCTTGATAAAAAGAAAAACAATAATTTGAATTTATACATACAGAGCTAATGAAACTGTTCTCTTATTTACAAAAGGACTAGATCAGAGACTCTGAATGCTCTTCTCACATTGAACATTGAAAGACTTTAAGTTAAAGTGAACACTCACAAAGAACTGTGAACACCAAAAACTGAATTTATTTTAATTTACATGCTTTTATTTACTTTATTAATCTTAGTTGATTATAAAGAGGGAGATGTAACATTTTATTTGTCTTAAGCGACCACCTCTTATTTTACAATGTTGTAAGCGACTTGAATAATACACGTGTGTTCCAGCATGGCTGCTTACAGAGTTAGCACGTTTATGTTACAAGAGCCATACTACTTACGTTGCTCTTCCGCTTGTCATCTGCATTCACTGTGTTATTTTCAAAAGACTGAAATAAGACCAACAAAGGCGCATCGATTTTTAATGGTACATAGCAGTTCCCTTAAATGGTCTTTATATAAAAAAACACAGACCTATTCTACGTCTGACTCTATAAAATGTGACAAATATCTGTTAAAAATATGTATACCTGTTGTTAATCCACGTCATGAACTATTTTACATGAAAGTATCAGTAACACTCATACACTGTATCCCCATTTACGTTGCTCTTCCTTCAGGTGGATTTCCTCTCATCGATATCTGATAAATAAAGAGGGTAAATGTCCGCGGAGTCCATAAAATTGTCAGTTGAAAAATTCATGTATAAAGAAATAATAGTCTATTACACAGCCTTGTTATCCTCATTTAAAACTAACATTATGACACTTAATAAAAATGTCTGATTCCGTCAAAAGTATTGAACCAATGCCTATACCGTGCATATCGTTTGTATAGTCAGGTGTATATAAAAGACAAGATGTGCGTATTTGTATTCCTCAGCGAAAATACAACAGGAGCACGATAGTTAAAGATATTACGTTCTGTAACAGTAAAATGTTTTTTAAGATACTGAATTAATATTATTTGTGAAAAATAGTATCCATTCAGGCTCATCAAAACTTTATGCAAGTGCATAAATAATGTCCATCATCATCATTCATCATTTAGAGCCTATAGTGTTCCACTGTTGGACAAAGGCCTCAGCATGCTTTTTCTATTGTTTCCTATTCTGAGCCTGAGATTTCCAGTTTGGCCAAGGTTTCTTCTTCCAAGACTTCCAGTAGTCATCTGATGCATCCCTCCATCGTTTGACCGGCCTTCCTCTTTTTCTTTGTCCATACCTTGGGGTCCATTTTGTAAGCCTGATTGTCCACCTATTGTCCTTCATTCTTTTGACATGTCCTGCCCACCTCCATTTCATTTCTTTAACTGTGAGCAGTACGTCCTTAACTTTGGTCTGTTCACGTAACCATATATTCGTTTTCCGCTCTCTTGGACTGATGTTCAACATAATTCTTTCCATCTTTCTCTGAGCTACTTGNGTAGGGGTGGGGGTCTGGGGAGGGTTACAATGTATACAAGCAGTTTATTGCTAGTGTTCATCTTGATGCTGACTGATGAAAAAAGACTTGTAAGGGTCCATTCACAATAATACAATCACACGTCTGCTTATCTATGCATGTATGCATATATATATTTTATCTTTTCCCACTCCGTTAATTTTCACGGTATCCACCAAAGCAAAGACAATGACGAACTAGAACTTCAGCAGAAGCGAACGCGGTCATGAGCATTCTTACAGAGCTTTTTATTGAAATGTGTCTCAACAAAATTAAATTGCAGGTGACACATTGACGTGCAAGCTTTGAGGTTCAGGGTGTGTATAAAAGAAATATAAAACAATTGCAAAAGATTGATGATACAGCAGATGAATTAGTACCGCTGTTCACTTGTTGTTGACTTTCTTATACATGTATATATATATATATATATAGATGCTCTTTCATGATCTGATTATGTTAAGTGCATGATCAAACAGTAATAATAGGAAACAGATCAAATTAGGAATCACTCTAAAGTTAATCTTTTTTATTGAACAACAAAAATCCATCAACATTTGAGCTGCTTTATCCACCTCCTGCCTATAGTAACAATATTATCACCTTGGTATGATTATTAGACGTGTCTCGTCTAATAAAACGTTGAAGTGAGGTCAAGGCACCATGTCGTTGTCCCTAACTGTCGCCTTCAAGGACTAAAGAAATCATGCTTCCAGATGTTAACAGTTAGCAGATACTTGGTCGGTTGGTGATTGTGCCTTCTGTGTATTTAGTGAGCCTTCGATGCGTTCTAAGGGAGCCTTCACTACCAGTTGATCCGCGGACTAACAGGTTGTGGATGATTCCTGAAATCGGGACATTTAGGGACCGTTCACATGAAAAGCTTATTTTCTAAAAATCTATTTTCTATTCGCGGTATCTTGTGATCACAGAATTAAGTAACTGGCTCACGCTGCCAGTAATTACGCCGCGAGATATTCAGGGCACAGACCGTGGCACAGGGCACAGATTTTTAGAAAATAGACTTTCCATGTGAACGTTCCCTTATTAGCTGAGTACATGTGTCATAATTTACAGGAACAGTTGAAACGCAGAAAGTCAATTTACGTATTAATTAACCCCCTGAACGTATCCTTTGAGTGTACTTCTTCTTCATCTTCTTCTTATTTTAACTAATAAAAGACAAATGTCAAGGCTCAGCTGCTTTTCAAAGAACTTCCGTTGACCCTCCCCCCCCCCGTCCCGCCCCCCCGTCCCCTACCCCCATCCTTAATTGTACCTGTACTTGATAACCAGGGACAGATGCGTTGTTAAAGCCTATGTAATTTAGATAGGTGGGGCAGGAACAGCAGTCCTAGGAATGGAAGTCTGGGCTCCCATATGATTACTACAGGTTAGGGTTAGTTGTGGTATTGGGGTTAGTATATGGGAGGAATATCAACTGGACAAATTAAGTAATTTGGAACGGACTACGGTTCCTAGAGAACTTCCATATTCTTGTCACACATGTACAGTTAGGGTCATGACACTCTGAAAATAATAACTAATAATCACTTCAAATATCAAATAATTAATATATCAGATGTCTGAATTGACACAATATTCAGTTCACAAAAATATCCACTGACTTGTATATTAATTTTAATTGAGTTGCTTGCTTAATTGCACCCTTGACACATTTTATGGCCTTACATATAATTATATTTCAAAAGCAGACGGTTGCAATTCGGGTAATTGATATATATATATATATATTGCACCGCGCAAAAGTGCAGTACTGGATCCACCTAAGATAAGGCACTGGGATATAATAAGCCTTTGAAATTAATATCTGGGGATCGCATTAAAAGAGACGGTTCGGGAGAGCTAAGAAGATGGAGGCGATTAATTAAGTTATGGGAGAGTGTTATTCCAGGTTGGAGACTTCACCTAAAACATGTACTTAGTGTCAATCAATAAATGAATAAATAAATAAATAAATAAACCGAGAAACTGGTCATTTTGTATACATGCATTTTCTTTGATCGACTTAACATAAATTTGACACGCACCGTGGAATTTCGGATTACGTCTTGCGCTTTATAAGAAGTTCTCACTTACAATTAGATATAAAAGATGCAGGTTTTACTTATTCCGGTGAAGATTGCATTGAAAGGGGGATTTTACGATCTTAAACTCTCTGACCTCTAGTTTATAGTTTTTATCTTTATTCACGCTTGGCCTGAAATGCCGTTTTCCTCCATCATTTTTCCCTTGTGATCTGAGATGCCGTTTTCCGCCATTTTTTATCTGTCTTGTCGACCTTTAGGCCGTAATCTAAAGCCTGAGATATGTTGTTTAACTCCAACATCACGCGGATCAATTCATAACTTATATGAAAGAGTATTTTGCCACCGGAATCCGCATATCGCCACTCTGATCCTCTAGTTATTTTTGCTAATAAAAGAAAAATACCAAGACTCAGCGATTACAAGAGACAGTACTGAATTTAACATACTTATAAAAAATCAACATCAACATGTATGATAATAATAATAAGGCATTTTGCTGTGACTTTTTACAATGAGATTTAAATACGAATGGAACTCCCAGTACTTGTAATATATTCTCTTTTCTGTATATGAACATGTATCATTAAGATAAACTCCCAAGTACACATATGTTTGCCTTAATCGAATCTTTTATGTGGTTTAATTACTTATTAATATTAAATGAATTTAGCATGAAAATGTTAGAGTAAAACTTCAGTATACATAGAATTATTGCCCCATTATTTTGGTCCCTTCACCATATTTTTATTTTATAATAAAATCTTTTTAACAAAGCGTCTGTTTAATCTTATTAAATTATTTATAAGCATATTATTCTAAAATAATCATTTTAAATAGAACGTTCACTGTCATCCCATCGGTGATTGTTATGCGATGAACGTTGGACTTACAATCGTAGTAAAACGTGAGACTAGTGACCCAGATTATGCATTGGGTGAAATTAGGTCACAGTTTGATTCATGCATATGCAGATTACGTCCAATTGCGTCCTATGATTGGACAATGCGTTCTAAGCACCACCATGTTTTACCCTACGCGTTGTATCCTTGCATTACTTAGTGCGGGTGTTTTAAACTGAACTCTGTTTTCTTGTGCATGTTTCGTGGAAGGAACTCCGCGGATTTCGTTGGAAAAATACTCCATTATATTAGTTCTGAATTGACCTTCCATCTGCGTGATGTGGAAGTTAAATAACATCTTTCAAACTTCAGCCTATCAGATTACGACCTACTTGCATCAACCGCCTCGTGGAGGACATGAACGCGTTCAGTGATGGGAACATTTTAATCGTTTAATTATGTTTTATTCAGCAGTGAGATATGTCTACCGAAGACGCGATTTAATAGGTAGAATAACTCAGTGTTTTACACAACCCTTAGGATGTCATCAATCGCTGCGGTTTACATGTGTCGTCTCACAACTCCGAAGGCCTCACAAGATGTGGGGTTGGTCGTTGTGGAGACTTACCGCCGGAACTGAGCTGTCATATTCTACAAAATTTATCACAGAAGATGAATATAACGACCTCATCAGAGAAATCAAAGATAACTTTGAAAGAGATGCGAAGAAGTACCTTAATCAAGATGGAAGGAGTGTAGCGGAGATTATTCCGAAGATTATTAGTGCTTACGAGAGCGGATTTGGTAATGCCGAAAATGACCTCGACGGAGTTCTACGGTATATGTATGCTGTTAGTCTTACATGTTTGAGGGATTCGCCAAGATATGACAACGTTCATCTTCTACAAGATGACAGGTTATCATCAGCCCTGCAAACCATCCTCAACAAAGGTTTAATGAAGGGAAGTGATCCTCTCCAGTTAAACAGATTGTTGTTAGTTGGGCGCACAATTCAACCGTCTCCAGAAATCCTCCAGTTTTATAAGAAACTGGAGAGACACATGTCACAGGTATGGTCCAGATGGCATGTTAAGTCTAGGATAGATGTCTGTCACGGCTGGTTACAGCTATCTGTACTACACGAGCAGAAGTACTTTGAAGAGGAGATAAGATTTTTCTTGAAGCATTTGATGAGTGAGGCAAAGCTAAAGAGGAAGAAACTTGAAGGCAAAGAAATTCACCGGCTTGTTAGTGTTCTAAAATCTGCAACACACTATTCTTGTGCACTGGATGGAAAGTGGGTGGATAAAAATGATGTAAGGCAAGTTTTACAAGCGCTGAAATTCAACATTAAATTCAATGAGCCAAGAGAAGTGGACAGGTATGTCAGACTCTGTTATGATGTTGAATATTTGGTGCCCTCTGACAGTTTATGGAAGGTGTTTGAGATTCTGCTTTCTGATGGAACTAGAGAATACAAGACACGTGCATATTTCTGCATTTACTGGATGTTGGAGTTAGCACGAAACCAGAAGTTGAATAAGGATTTTATGTATGTACATTATGATACAAAACTTGCAGAAGTATTTAAGGAGCACGTATCTTTGTTGCCATTGAAACTCCAGATTGATATTACATGGCATTTTNGTAGGGTTGGGAGTTTGCGGAAGGTTACAATGTATACAAGCAGTTTATTGCTAGTGTTCATCTTGATGCTGACTGGTGAAAAAAGACTTGTAAGGGTCCATTCACAATAATACAATCACACGTCTGCTTATCTATGCATGTATGCATATATATATTTTATCTTTTCCCACTCCGTTAATTTTCACGGTATCCACCAAAGCAAAGACAGTTACGAACTAGAACTTCAGCAGAAGCGAACGTGGTGATGTGCATTCTAACGGAGTTTTTTTTATTGAAATGTGTCTCAACAAAATTAAATTGCAGGTGACACATTGACGTGCAAGCTTTGAGGTTCAGGGTGTGTAGAAAAGAAATATAAAACAATTACAAAAGATTGATGAGACAGCAGATGAATTAGAACCGCCGTTCACTTGTTGTTGACTTTCTTATACATGTTTATATATATAGATGCTCTTTCATGATCTGATTATGTTAAGTGCATGATCAAACAGTAATAATACGAAACGGATCAAATTAGGAATCATTCTAAAGTTAATCTTTTTTATTGAACAACAAAAAATCCATCAACATTTGAGCTGCTTTATCCACCTCCTGCCTATAGTAACAATACTATCACCTTGGTATGATTATTAGACGTGTCTCGTCTAATAAAACGTTGAAGTGAGGTCAAGGCACCGTGTCGTTGTCCCTAACTGTCGCCTTCAAGGACTAAAGAAATCATGCTTCCAGATGTTAACAGTTAGCAGATACTTGGTCGGTTGGGTGATTGTGCCTTCTGTGTATTTAGTGAGCCTTCGATGCGTTCTAAGGGAGCCTTCACAACCAGTTGATCCGCGGACTAACAGGTTGTGGATGATTCCTGAAATCGGGACATTTAGGGACCGTTCACATGAAAAGCTTATTTTCTAAAAATCTATTTTCTATTCGCGGTATCTTGTGATCACAGAATTAAGTAACTGGCTCACGCTGCCAGTAATTACGCCGCGAGATATTCAGGGCACAGACCGTGGCACAGGGCACAGATTTTTAGAAAATAGACTTTCCATGTGAACGTTCCCTTATTAGCTGAGTACATGTGTCATAATTTACGGGAACAGTTGAAACGCAGAAAGTCAATTTACGTATTAATTAACCCCCTGAACGTATCGTTTTGAGTGTACGTCTTCTTCATCTTCTTCTTATTTTTGCTAATAAAAGACAAATGTCAAGACACCCCCCCCCCCCCCGTCCCCTACCCCCATCCTTAATTGTACCTGTAGTTGAAACCATGGACAGGTGTGTCGTTAAAGCCTATGTAATTTAGATAGGTGGGACAGGAATAGTAGTCCTAGGAATGGAAGTCAGGGCTCCCATATGATAACTACAGGTTAGGGTTAGTTGTGGTATTGGGGTTAGTATATGGGAGGAATATCAACTGGACAAATTAAGTAATTTGGAACGGACTACGGTTCCTAGCGGACTTCCATATTCTTGTCACACTGGCACCGTTAGGGTCATAACATTCTGAAAATAATAACTAATAATCACTTCAAATATCAAATAATTAATATATCAGATGTCTGAACTGACACTATATTCAGTTCACAAAAATATCCACTGACTTGTATATTAATTTTAATGGAGTTGCTTGCTTAATTGTGCCCTCGACACATTTTATGGCCTTACATATAATTATATTTCAAATTATGGTAATAAATATTTGTATGCATCACTGGATCCACCAAAGATAAGGCATTGGGATATAATAAGCATTTGGAATTAATATCTGGGGATCACATTAAGAGAGACAGTTCGGGAGAGCTAAGAAGATGGACGCAAGTTATGGGAGAGTGTTATTCCAGGTTGGAGACAACACCTAAAACATGTACTTAGCAAGCGTCAATAAATAAATAAATAAATAAAAACAAAATAATAACTAAATAAACCGTGAATTGGTCATTTAGTGTACATGCATTTTCTCTGATCGACTTTACATAAATTTGACACGGACCGTGGAATTTCGGATTACGTTTTGCGCTGTATAAGAAGTTCTCTCAGTTTTGCTTATTCTGTTGAAGATTGCGTTGAAAGGGGGATTTTGGGATCTTAAACTCTCTGACCTCTAGTTCAGTTCCAATCTTTTTTTTTTTTTTTTTTTTTTTCACGCTTGGCCTGAGATGCCGTTTTCCTCAATCCTTTTTCCCTTGTGATCTGAGATGCCGTTTTCTGCCATTTTAAATCTGTCCTGTCGAGCTTTAGGCCGTAATCAGAAGCCTGAGATATGTTGTTTAACTCCCACATCACGCGGATCAATTCATAACTTATATAAAGGAGTATTTTGCCACCGGAATCCGCGTACAAATACCAAGACTTAGCGATTACAAGAGACAGTCCTGAATTTAATATACTTATTAAAAAATCAACATCAACACGTATGATGATTTGAATAATTAATTATAAGGTACATGTATTTTGCTGTAACTTTTTACAATGAGATTTAAATACGAATGGAACTCCCAGTACTTGTAATATATTCTCTTTTCTGTATATGAACATGTATCATTAAGATAAACTCCATAGTACATGCACATATGTTTGTCCTAATTGAATCTTTCATGTGGTTTACTCATTAATCTGGAACATAGCATTGTTTTGGTCCCTTTAAAGGTCTACCATATTTTTATTTTATAATAAAATCTTTTCAACAAAGCGTCTGTTTTATCTTATTCTATATATCAAATTATTTATAGGCATATGCTCCTAAAAGAATCATTTTAAATAGAACGTTCACTGTCATCCCATCGGTGATTGTTATGCGATGAACGTTGGACTTACTATCGTAGTAAAACGTGAGACTAGTGACCCAGATTATGCATTGGGTGAAATTAGGTCACAGTTTGATGCATATGCAGATTACGTCCAATTGCGTCCTATGATTGGACAATGCGTCCTAAGCACCACCATGTTTTACCCTACGCGTTGTATCCTTGCATTACTTAGTGCGGGTGTTTGAAACTGAACTCTGTTTTCTTGTGCAGGTTTCGTGGAAGGAACTCCGCGGATTTCGTTGGAAAAATACTCCATTATATTAGTTCTGAATTGACCTTCCATCCGCGTGATGTGGGAGTTAAACAACATCTCTCAGGCTTCAGCCTATCAGATGGTCAGATGACGACCTACTTGCATCAACCGCCTCGTGGAGGACATGAACGCGTTCAGTGATGGGAACATTTTAATCGTTTAATTATGTTTCATTCATCAGTGAGATATGTCTACCGAAGACGCGATTTAATAGGTAGAATAACTCAGTGTTTTACACAACCCTTAGGATGCCATCAATCACTGCGGTTTATATGTGCCGTCTCACAACTCCGAAGGCCTCACAAGATGTGGGGTTGGTCGTTGTGGAGACTTACCGCCGGAACTGAGCTGTCATATTCTACAAAATTTATCACAGAAGATGAATATAACGACCTCATCAGATGCAACATAAATGAATTTGAAAGAGATGCGAAGGAGTATCAGGAAGATGGAAGGAGTGTAGCGGAGATTATTAGTGCTTACGAGAGCGGAGTTAGTAATGCTGAAAATGACCTCGACGGAGTTCTACGGTATATGTATGCTGTTAATCTTACATGTTTGAGGGATTCGCCAAGATATGAAAACGTTCATCTTCTACAAGATGACAGGTTATCATCAGCCCTGCAAACCATCCTCAACAAAGGTTTAATGAAGGGAAGTGATCCTCTCCAGTTAAGCAGATTGTTGTTAGTTGGGAGCACAATTCAACCGTCTCCAGAAATCCTTCAGTTTTATAAGAAACTGGAGAGACACATGTCACAGGTATGGTCCGGATGGCATGTTAAGTCTAGGATAGAGGCTTGTCACGGCTGGTTGCATATGTCTGTACTACACGAGCAGAAGTATTTTGAAGAGCAGATAAGATTTTTCTTGAAGCATTTGATGAGTGAGGCAAAGCTAAAGAGGAAGAAACTTGAAGGCAAAGAAATTCACCGGCTTGTTAGTGTTCTACAATCTGCAACACACTATTCTTGTGCACTGGATGGAAAGTGGGTGGATAAAAATGATGTAAGGCAAGTTTTACAGGAGCTGGAATCTAACATTGAATTCAGTGAGCCGAGAGAAGTGGACAGGTATGTCCAACTCTGTTATATTGTTGAATATTTGGTGCCCTCTGACAATTTATGGGAGGTGTTTGATATTCTGCTTTCTGATGGAACTAGAGAATACAAGACACGTGCATATTTCTGCATTTACTGGATGTTGGAGTTAGCACGAAACCAGAAGTTGAATAAGGATTTCATGTATGTACATTATGTTACAGAACTTGCAGAAGTATTTAAGCAGCAGGCATCTTTGTTGACATTGAGACAGCAGATTAATATTACATGGCAGTTTAGTATCATGTGTTATTCTGATCATGAAATGCTTTTGAAAGTTGTTGATAACTTTGTGGCTGATGCACGAGATATCAAAAGTGATGGTGGTTTTAGATTAGTTCAGGCTTACCTACTCATGGATTGCAAGCCAAATATTGCTTTTGTCAAAAAAGTGAATGATTTAATACAAATCAGAGGGAAAAACACCCCTCCTTTCCAATTGCTTTCCATTGCTTGTGATTTGATACGCCATCATGGCTATGATGAAGTCTTCAGTGGAATACTAGATAGTTGTTTCCAGTCTGGTCTGATGAAGGAAAAATCATTAAATGTTACAGAGCCAGAAGGATGTAGAAGGATTGTTGAGTTGTTTGGAAGGTTAGAAATAGAACAAATTGACAAATATGTGAAGAAGATTCCACCAAACCTCTACAAGGTACGTGGTGTTCAAGACTGTGCAAAGAAATTGAAAATAATTTGCCAGCATCACTCAAAGAAAGATGTTTTAGCAGCTGTACAGAAGAATCTTGGAGGTCCCCACTTGGCAAGAATCACGCCAGTGCTGCCCATATATCATTCTATTGTGGAGTTGTGTTTGAATGAATTGAATGAGCCTGTAGACATGAAGCTGGTGCCCAGGGTCTTTGATGAAAATGGATTCCTCAAAATGGAAAACATGTCTGCCTTGCCAGAAGGATGGAGCAAAATAGCAGTGTGGTTTCTACGTGATGAAGATCTCTTTATCAACAAGCCAGAGGAGTTAACTGGTGAGTTAAAAATGTAGTTGTTGTATGTAAAGACAGACTCTAGTAAGCCCACCCTGCTGCCATGAGTGGTTTTGGGTTATGAGCTTGACTGTAGTGTACTGAGTTTATTTCTTCTATATACTTGCTGGTTACCCACTGGGGGCCAGCTTTTATATATATATATATATATATATGCGTTTTTCAGTAATATCTAAAGATGTTATGTGACCATGGTGATATATATATATTATTTAAGGTGTTTTGGTGAAATTTGAGTATTTTCTCTGTGTATATTAGTCAAATAATCTACTGCCACGCTGAAGCTTAATGTGTTCTGGCATATGTTGCCTTGGTAACAGTGTATTATCTCACACTTTAACAGAGAACATCTAAATTTGAATGTATGTGTGTGGTAAGATGGATAGATCTAAGTATGAGAACCCAGTGTAAATTTGAATGTATGTGTGTGGTAAGATGGATAGATCTAAGTATGGGAACCCAGTTTAAATTTGAATGTATGTGTGTGGTAAGATGGATACGGTAATGTGCCATGAATTTCGAACAGTAGAAAATAATTAAATTTGGGAAAAGATCGTTCTGGCCGAAATTCATGAAATGGAGGGGCTCAGAACTTCCAAAAGTTCAAATTTCATGGAATTCTGTCAATTTTGACCGGAAGTTGTCTGTTGGTCGCTAGGCCTTCTGTTATCTTCTCCCGACGATCTATTTAGAGTTACCATAATGTATGATGTGTGAGTGTCGGTAATTGCGACCAAAGGTATACACGTACTTTCACCTGATCACTGTGTATGGCCCATAGATAGAGCGGTACTGTTGTCTAAGGCCGCAAAACAGCATCGTTATCAGTAGTGTCGTTTTTCAAAAGCGATTCTGGCAGCCAGAAACTAGTGTCGTTTTTCAAAAACGATCCTGGCGCTCAGAACGGGAGTGGACGGAGGGAGAGACGGCCGACGATTAGCGTCTGCCACGGCCAGATAACCTTTACTATGAAAGCTTAGTGTTACCGTTGCTCCTTTCCGTGCACTGAAA